ACCAGAACCAGAACTGAGATCAGTTGTTCTGTTTCCCAGCTCAATGTTATTTCTAAGCCACAGTATTCCTTTCACTTTAAAATTACTATTTTTATGGTTTCACAGTTCTTGAAATCATATTAGCATTTAGGTTTATCTACTTGTATTCAACATCATTTCTCATTCACCTGCTTAACTGTACAAAAAAGCCACCCCATGCTTTGGGATGTTACCCCAGGGCCTGGTGACCATGTGGAAAGCTTGGCATTTATGTCAGAATGGAATTGTGGGTGGAGAAAAAGGGAGCATAGAGTTTTCAGAAATGGTCACCTTTTAAGCAAAAGTAGTAATTATAGAGTAAGAGAAATTCAACTTAGAGAAGTTAAGTTGCTTTAGGCTTCAGATACTCAAAGGGCTGGCATGCCCTTTGGTGTTTTTCTCTTATCTATGTTTTCTCCATTGGTAATTCCATTGAATTGCTTGGTTTTAAGCATCACCTCCAGTCAAAAAAAAAAAAAAAAAAACCCAAAGTGGAGCACAAACCAACCAACCAACCAAGCCTTCAACCATCCCTTCATCTCTCAACTCTTAAGCGCTCAACCCCTTTTTCCAACAATCAAAGGATACCTTGCCAGCATCTCCCCAGGCTGCTCAAATACTAAGTGTCCACAGGGAAATCTTTTTCATCCCTTTGCCAGCAATTCTTGCATTCCCAGTCATCATTTAGTCTACCATTATCTTCTATGACATAGGCTCAGAATCACCATGCTTCTCTCCAGGTCCCATTACCAGCTTCTACTGCTTGTACCTAGTATTTGCCCCATCTCTGTCTCTTCTGCTAACCCTCGTTGAAATGCTCCTGGCTCCCTGGGTGTCTCCAATAGGTTATCTTTTGTATTTGTTTCTATTGTACTTTATATTCCAGCCCTTTTCTCTATCTGGAACCCCTTTTACCATTCTATATCTCATGGCAGTTTTAATTTAGTGCCAGTTTCATGTAGCCTTCCAGATCCATTTGGTCAAAAGTAGTTTCTGCCTACCCTGACATCCCTAAAATTTCATTCTATATCTTTTCTTTGGTGTACACGCTTTTTATTTAAGAATATAGTATCTTTTTGAGCATACACTATGTATCAGGCATATACCCAGGCAAAATTTGTATACATTTCTACTTAATCCTCTCAGCAGCCCTATATCCCAGAGGTCCATATTTTACTGGTGTGGATACAGCTTGGACATAGGGACTCCACTCCCTGGGTGATTTCAATGTGTAGTAAGGTTGAGAACCACTGGTGGAAGTCCAAACGCTTTAGCCAGACATTATCCTGTAGTAGATATCACCTTTGATGTTCTAAAAAACAAATGTTGGACCCCAGCCCAGTCCTACCTAACTAGAATCTCTGGGGCAGGGAGCCTTGGAATCCATGCTTTAACAACACAGGACAGGAGATTCTGTCATATAACCAGAGTGGAGAACCATTTGAGCAGACCCTGAGTCATCTCCCAATCTTAATATATTAGGAATAATTGTTTGTCTCCTCTCACTGGGTAGTCTACGAACTCTTGAGAACAGGTTTACATTTGATCCACCTTGGTTTTCTCTCTGGTACCTATCAAGACTCCTTGCATATGTTTGAGAAACTAAAAAACAAAAAAAGTGCCCTTTGATGACCTCATTAAGAAAACAAAAGACATCTTTACAGAGTACTTATTCTCTCTGTACTAGGTTTTTAATCCCTAATATGCTGACCTGGAAAGTAAGCAAGTTATTTCAATTCCCTGAGCATCATAGTTGCATGACTATGCAGTGCCAGAGCTAGGATATGAACCCAGATCTTCTGATAATAATTTTTATCCAGCCTCAGGCCTTCAACCTTCAAAGCAACTACAAAGTAAAACAAACAAACAAACAAACTGTATGTGTGTTTGGATACATGTTCTCTGCCGTGTTTCTAAAATCGGAACATAACTTCTCACAATGGGAGGGAAAAAAAAAATTGTTGGCCTTATGAAATGGATTTGGGGGAAATACCATAATTTAAACCCCAAAATTAATTACAGGACCTAACATATCTTTTCTTCTCTTCAACCTCTCTCTCCCCCACCCCCAGATGTACATACACTCAGACAAACATACTCTGATGTTCTTTGACATTTCTTGACAACTGCTTTGTTTATTGCATTGGCAATTTTCTTAGGTTTTTTTTTCCCTTCTTGGTTTGTATAGTTTCTCAGACTTTTCAAATAATTCGGGCTTCTGCTATATATGAAATCATTTCAAAGGTTCATATACAGTTTACTTAAGGCAGTAAATTGGCATCTGGTATAAACTTCTAATGTTTTGGTTCAATATGAATATGCACTTAAAACGTATAAAAGCATAACAAAGTTGAAATGATGCTCAAACACAACCTGCTGCTGACAAGTACCCAGTCGTGTCCAACTCTTTGCAACACCATGGATTATAGTCCGCCAGGTTCCTCTGTCCATGGGATTTCCCAGGCAAGAATACTGGAGTGGGTTGCCATTTCCTTCTCCGGGGGCAAACACAACCTAGAAACGTGGATTCTAGGCTCTCTTTGCCATTTCCAAGCCCAATGATTCCAGTTAGGGGAGGAATGTTACAGAGCCACTTTCCTCACTTAAAAAATGAAAAGGAGAATGACCTAAAATAGACTCTCCCAATTTTTCTCCCAAATACAATATGGCATGATCCTTTAAAGTAATAATTATTTATTTGGCCTGTGGTCAAGATCAAGTGTATAATCAGTCCTTATCCTTATTATTTTTAAGGGCAAACAGAATTATGATGAAAATGTTTATACTTCTTTACGATTTGGAAAGTGTTTACCACCACCACCTCCTTTGACTTTCATAATATAACTGCAGAATAGTCACTATTATCCCCATTTCACAGAAAAGAAAGAGATGCAGTGAAGTTGAGTGGCTTTCTCCAGGAGAACAAAATCAAGAGAGGACAAATCTAGGTCCCTGCCCAACCCAACTTTTGACCCCTTTCAACAGCTTAATGGCCATGGGCAAAGCTGGAGGAGATCAGAGGCAGGTAGCTCTGACATGCACGCAGCTCCCTAGTAGCCTGCCTGGCTTCCTCAAATGTCTGCTACCCCAGATGCCTTTAAATTGCTTTGGAAGAGAATACCAAGTGGAGATTTATTTAACATATCATTTCTGGGTGTGAGTTTTCCTGAGCATTTATAGATCTGTGTTTTTCCAAGAAGCTGACTGTTCCTGATAAAACAAGACAGATAATGATAAATGAGCATCTATGTAAGCCTAGCTGGGAGGAGGACCAGGGACTGTTAACACCCCTCCTGTGAAGCTAATCCCATTTCTTTTAGCTATTTCTTTATTAGTTAATGAGGTCTTGCAAAAATATGTGTCTGTGATGATGTTTTAGCATCCTTGCCTCTAGGAACATTTTCAAATATTCATAAGTAGCTCGTCTGACCAAAGCTGAAAGCAAAGGTGCATTAAGCATGAATTTAGTCAACTTTAATGCGGGTGGTCAAAAAACTGCTCCTAAAATAACCTAAATAATCCTCCTCGTTGGTTTCCAGATCCACAGCTCTGGGCTCAAACATGAAGGAGGAGAGGGAAGAGGGATCATTTAGAACAGCCAGGACTCCGAAGGGCGGCCCCATAAGCTTTGATCCTGCTTCCTGACTGACAGCAGTGTGGCTTTGCTTTTGGAAGACTGAATAACTTAAAAACACAATGAAAAAGGAATTACCAGTCAAGCCCCTAGGAAGGAGAGCAGATGCTAGTTCTTATTGCTCCAGGGAGGTCAGAGACCCACTTCCCACTTCAGTTTCTTCTGACAAGGGGGAAAAGGAGACTCTCAAAAGGTGTCTCTGATGCTCAAGGGTACATTTGGAGAGGCAAAGCAAACACAGAAACTCGACCAGTTATGCAACTGGGCAACAGGACATAGTGGCAAGTACTTCTACAACTTCGTCACAGGGCCCGAGGAACACAACTAGGGTACACACGGTCTCCAACCCCCTCACACACACATACATATACACACGCGCCTTCCATCACCCAGAAACGGTGCCACACAAATCCTCATTCTCTCCATCTTTTTATGATTTCATTTCCCAAAACATTATTTAAGGAAACTCACATTGGGACTCATCTCCTACGTTCAATTCAAAAACAAAGGAATTTTTTCAAAAGATGGCTTTATAAAAACATATCATTGAAAACAATGTGAGGATGATGAACCAACATTGTTTGGTTCTGAGTGGGTGGCCAGACTATCCATGGCATACTTTGGCTAAAAAAACAAAAATCACAGCACAGTTTTCTCCCTCCTGTTTCTGAGCAAGTACTTCGGAGCTGTCACCAACACGGTGCAAGCCTTCCTGATCTACTGTGGTAAGAGCTCAAGGAACAATCACACGCTGAGGTCCTCTGACCTTTGATCACACAGGGCATTGTGATGAAGCATGGTGTTACATGTGCAGGTAACTCAGCACTGCCTAACATGGAACGTCTATGCTCAAAAGGACACATTCATGTCATTGTCACTGAATCTTTTAATCACTGGGGCCTTTGGCTTTTTTGAGAATGAAGGAAAGCTCTGAGCCACACTTCTGAAAAGAGACGTCCATGGAATCCCATTCAGTAGAAATGTGGAAAAGGACAGATATCGTCCACTAGCAAGGGATGAAAATGCAAACATTTATTTTTGCAGCTCAGGGCTCAACTTTGTCCTTTTATCTGGTTGTGAACTTCCTCTGAACGTGAAAAAAAGTAAGTCCTGAAAGATAGCAATAGCACACTAATAATGCTGCCTTGAGAAATGCTCAGAGTATAAGACTATTTCTCTTTTGTCTCTTGCCTTGAGGACATTGAGGGCACTTTGACAGCCCTTATGATTACACCAGATTCAAGCTAACATTCGTTATTCCAGATGCAATTCTGCATTTCTCAAAAGAAGTACTGTTACAGCCCGGATGTAAATTTGACTGTGTCCTGTACTTAATGTTCTATTCCAGGTGATTCACATAACGGGCCGGCTACGACTGCGGGTGTCACTGCCCCACGGGAGGACCATCCCCAGCCAAATCATGGGTCTCGTGGTTGTGGCTCATGCCCTGCCTCCCCCTACGATCAATGAAGTCAGAATTGACTGCCATATGTTCGTCACTCGAGTAAATATGGACCTCAATATCATTTACTGTGAAAATAGGTACTTCGTTTTTGTTTTCATTTGCCCTGTTGTATGTTGCACATTGGTAAGGGCCGGTGTTTTCAGCAGTCTGAAGGATTTTACTCTCCCAATGAGGCTCATTATAAATCCTGATCTTATTTTTAATGGCTGCTTGGACTGACACCAAGCATGCTTTTTATTTGAAATTTACATCACTGCCCTGATTTACATTAGGGACAACAATGGGATGCATTAGGATACCCAGGCATCCATATGCTGTAACTGAGACCCATTTTGGCTGAGAACCCAAGGAGAGAGCAGGACTGAGACATTCTTGGCAAAACAATGCAGCAAGAGCTATCTCCTGATGCCTCAGCCAGACCCACTTCCTGACTACTGCAAGGACCCAGCCTTATGATGGGCAGTGTTCACGCAGGCATTGCGTACCTTCTCCTGGTCAGCCCAGGCTGCTGGGACAAATCCCCATAGACCAGGGGGCTCAAACAACAGACATTTATTTCTCACAGTTCTGGAGGCTGAGAAGTCTAAGATGAAGGTGCAGGCTGACGAGGTTCCTTTGGTGGCAGGCTGGGGTGGGGGGTGGGGTGCAGGGTGGGAGGTGTCTTCCTGGCTTCTTGCTATGTTCTTATATATGGGAGGGCAAGCTCTGATCTTTCTCCCTCTTATAAGAACACTAATCCCACCATGGGGGCTCCACCTTTATGACCTCATTTAAACCTAATTACTCTCAAAGGTCCCGCCTCCAAATACTATCCCAAGGTAGGAGTGGGGGGGGGGGGGCGGTAAGGACTTCAGTAGACGAATTTAGGAAGTACACAAACATTCAGTCCACAAAGCATGTAGAGAACAAATAAGAATTTGAGATCCCCAGAGGAAAACAAGACCAAAAAGAAATTTGCAGAACTCTTCAATAACACTTCGTAATCCTGAGGATTTCACTTGGATAGATTAAAGATGACCCATCATATAAGTGACTTGGCAGTCCTTCCTCAACACTGAGCTTTTACAAAAGGACTTTTTAGCCTCTGGTTAAGAAGTTCAGTTTCATTAGGTACAAAGCAAGGGACACAGAGATGGGACAGTGCCTCTTCAGACCTTTCACCTAGAAGTCACCAGTCTATCATCAGGCTGATTTGAAGGAGAGAGAATCCTGGGGCAGGGGGAGGGGGCGTGGAGGGGAGGTGCTCACATGTGGCTGTGGGAAGAAAGCTTGGTGGTATTTTTCATTCTTGGGGGCAGGAAGGGGGGTGGTGGGAACAAACGAACACGATGGTCAAGTGGTTTAGGAAAGTGATCTCTCTCCCGGGCCCAGACATGAGGAAGACAGGCAGTGCCGATATCCAGTCCATTAGGAAGCACTAAAGATGTCAGGATCAAGCTAGAAATGTCTGTCTTCCTGGTCAGGCTTTGATTCAGAGGAAAGCATTCACTGGGAAAAGATAACCCACCCAAGCTTTAGGGTGTTCAGGCAGGGAGACGATATCATGAGCCTGTCACTATTATCTAATGAGTAGTTCAATCTATTTGTCAAGTTTTGAGAGTATTTATTAAAATTCTTATCACCATGACTGTATAGCTGGCTATGTCCAAGGCATTCTTCAGTGGCCACAGAGAATCAGGAAGATGAGTTCACTGGAATGAGTAGCTAGGGCTGGCCAGGAATAATAGAGAGCGCGAACATTTATTGAACACCTGCTACACCCTCAGTGGTGTGTGAAGAACATTGAAAGCGCTGTCTCATTGAAGCTTCAAGATAGTTCTGTGAGGCTGGTGTTGCCCATGTCCACCAGCGCCAGGCAGTGTCAGCTTAGAGAGAGAGGGTAAGTGTCTTGACTGAGGCCAAGACTTGAACTCTATCTGTCGGATTCAAACACCCTACTTCTGCAGGACCTCCCTGCGTTCCCTGTCTCTAATTTCTCTTCAGAAGTCAGGCTAAAATGGTAAGGAAGTGGTCCAAATAACCACTGTGGGGATCTTTCATACGTGTGCACCCATGAAAGAGAACATACAGCCCATAAAGCAGTCTCTTCTGTTTTAAAATGTAGAACATTGGATACCCAGGGAGGCAGGTAGACAGTCAAAGGATGAACTATGGCTCTGCATCTTTGAAAACAAATGTCAGTTCCCTTGATTGAATTCTACCAGCACCACTCACCACCAAAAAAAAAAAAAAAAAAGAAAGAAAGAAAGAAATGAAGCCTTATCTCATTTACCTAGCTCCCAGAAATCCCTAAGCCATCACTTAATTCTCAGGCCTGTGGTCACAGGTTGATTAATTCTTTTGATGCACTCCATGGACTTGGGTGCCTGATGGTGCCACTCTAGTAACTGAGATCACTTTCTATGGCCCACTTCATGCATCTTTCCTCCCATTAAAACATGTTTTTTTTCCACAACCCCTTATTAGCCAGTATAATACAGCATTATTTCCCTACTGAAGATGACAGTAATTATTTAAAAGGACCCCTATTAGAAGTAATTGCATATTTAATCTGAGAGAACAGCATATGTTGTGTGCCGGGCACCATGCTACATTCACATCATTTCATTCATTAGTACCCTCACCAGCCTCTGAAGTTGTTTCACAGATGAGGAAACTGGGTCTCAGAGTATAGGCTGCCATCAGGATTTTGATCCTGACATACAGGTCATTAGACCGGTCTAGGACTTTCTACACATAGATGAAGAGGTCTTTGAACACGGAGCTCATCACATTCACCTTGGTAACAGGCTCTGGGAGTACACAGAAGTATTTCCATTGCTTTGAAGGATTTCATTCAAATAAAAAGTAAACTACAGAACTATCTCCCCTAAAGAACTGGGTGCCTTTCCCCGGGGTTCATTGTTTACTGAGGAAATTGCTCACTAGAAAACAGGGGCTCTCCTGGACTCTCCTCGGAATCCCGGCACAGCCTTGGGCAAAGCCAACCTCTGATGCTTTCAGAGGATCCAGCAAATTCCAGAAACGCCATGGAGGGAATGAGGGCCTTTAGTGACACCCTTATTCACCATTTGCAGAAAGGGGGTGTGAACTGTGCTTGGAAAGCAACTAATGGTTTTAGGAAAACACCAGCGGATCCGTTTTATACCAGAAAACCATGGACTACTGAGAAAACACTCCAAGAATTCTATTTTGGCCAAAGATATGATTTAAATTGCTAGACGCTGAGAAATTCACTCCCTGGGTAGGGTATTTTCATTATATCCCATATTATCCTGGTTTGGTTTGGTTTCTTATTTCCTTGCCTTTGGGGGTCAGATTTCATTCCCCCTGCAGCGCTCTCACGGGTTTCTTCAAGGTGTCACAGCTAAAGATTCACTTAATATTTGATAAGTCATAAAACATAAAAAGCACAGGGGCAGTAAAGAGAATCAATTAAACAAGAGAGAAATTCTCTCTGGGACGGACCAAAATGAGCCTGAACTTGGACAGGGAAGAAGAGAAGCAGCATTTCGGCGCGCTTGTGTAAATCAGGCAGATTCCACCACCGCCCCACCGTGCTTTCCAATTTTTGTTCTATTTTTCTCTGCTCCTGCCTGAGGACATTGGTGGCTGGACAATCAATGACAGAGGCTTACACACACGTACAGTCAAGCACAAGCCCGGCAGAGCTGCCGAAATGGTTTAAAAGTTTCCGTGTGGAATCCACCACAAAGTCCCAGTTAAAAGGGCCAGGAGTGAGAGCTGAGCTCTCAAATGACTCAGACAAAAAAAGATAATACCCCCAGGCATCTGTATGTCTCAGCATTTAAATTATATCCCTTGAAATGCCAATTTGGATTTTGTGCCAAGAAGCAGTCGAAGCCCTTTTTCATGGAAATACCCAATAGAAGACCAATCTGTTTAAATGAAAGGTGTCTCTAATCATTTGGTATAAACATAACATGTTTTTATTTTATTATGTAACCTTGAATTATCTTAGCCTCTAATGAGGATCTCGCATTGTTACTGATTCTCAATAATTTCATGGAATTATGTTGTCTAAATGCATATTCCGATACTAAAGAAAGAAAAGAAAAGCCTACTTAATTATTTCAACACAACTGCTTGATCCAGTGCAGTTCTGGCTTCAGAAAAGGACTGTTACATGTTAAAGAAAATTAATTTTATCTAAAAGGGGTTTTCCCTCAGTGCCCAGTCCTCACAGGCACCCTGGTACAAGGAAAATTGTCAGTAGGTCTGTTTCTAAGTCACTGAACTGTTTGTATATTTCCCCTGCTTCTGATTTCCAGCCTGTGTTCTTCTCTTTGTAGGATTAGTGACTATATGGATCTGACCCCTGTAGACATTGTAGGGAAGAGATGCTACCACTTCATCCACGCTGAAGATGTCGAGGGCATCAGGCATAGTCACTTGGACTGTAAGTACCTCCAGTGCGCGGGGACAGCCCAGCTGGGGTCCTCTCTCCTGGATGCTTTTTTTTGGGTTTCCATGCCAATTTCTCCCTTCATATCTCCTGCACATTTGAGATGACTGTCAGTGCACAGTGAGAAAAAGTGAGACATAAATCACTTCAACTTGTATTGGAATTAGATTGAAAGCTGGATCTTGGGGCCCGGAGAAATTGCTGGATCTATAGGTGCTCACCCCGGATTTCGTGGTCTCCCGCGTGCTCTCTCCCATGATGTGATGGGGGGACCTTTGTCTTAAGTGCCTTCTCGACCCTTTCATTTTCTAGAGCTACTTCCACTCTGAAATTTGTGGTCTCCGTTTCAAAACAGATGTGGGAAAAGACAAGTTCAGCTAGGCCAGAGCCTCATAAAAATTCCTACTTGACTAGCCACAGACCTGGGGTGGGGAAGGGGAGGGGAGGGGCAGAGTGTGGATACTGAAGCTCTCAAAGGCGCTGACTTTTCACTGTATTTCTACAAAGAGGGTTATTTAGAGAAGCGGGTACCTCCATGTCCCGACTCCTGGAAGGGCGAAAGTCATCTCAGCTCTTTGAGCCTGGTTCCCAGCTCCTGACCAGCAGGCTCACCTCCAAGGCACCTTTTGTGGGCGTTTAAGCAAAGCCAGGCCAGCGAGCTCCGCTGGGTCCACACAGTGACTCACATGCCAGCATCCTTATGCACTTTTCCCTCATCAGACTTCAAGGGGCTGTTTTCACTGAGTGCAAGGGATGTCAAGTCCCATTGGGAGGCACTGTGGCCCTCTTAGGAAGAAGCTCTTTTCCAATGAGAGGTCCTTTTTATGACCATTCCGTAGACTCTTCCTAGAAGATGAGGGCTCTGCCATCGACATTCCTAGAAGGTTCTAAACCCAGTTCTGAACTCTGGTTTTAAATGCATGCAAGGGGACACAAATCAGATGGTTCGGCTTGAAACGGAAGCTTTTATGCAGTAAGATCAGCCGGGCGGCCTCTGTGTTAATGTTGTCTTCCCTCTCTGGCCGTGGCTGAGGACAGTTGTTTGAGCTCTCTCCTGCCCTTTGCAGTTGTTGACTGCAAACTGAGATCTTCAGAAGCATGACGGAGAGACGGTAAGCCAGCCGGAGTCTCAGAGTGTGAGCATCTCGTACTGTGTGTTGAACCCTGCATTAGCAGCACTGACATGGGGACCGAGGTCAGTGTCAAGTTCTGTACGTGCTGTGTCTCTGGGAAAAGGCTGTCTGCAAGGCAGCTCTGGCAGATTCTACTCCCAACCCTGAGTGCATGCCTTGGTATGGCTCCCCGGGGATTTAGGGAGCGCACTTGTTGCTGAGAACAAATGGGTGTCGGGTATCACAGGAGCAGATGGTTCTTCAATTAATTGAGGGAAAAAAATGATGCTGTTTCCTGAAAAGAAACATCGGGTTCTTTGTAGCTGGGAATTTAGAGAAAATGGAGAAAAATCAGGATCTTTGGAGGAAACTGTGAGTATATTTTGCGATGCAGATATGCCAGAGATTCAGACTTTTAAGATGAATGCATGTTTGTAAGACACAGTCATAGACCACGTGCATGTATGTGGAGTTGGGGGGTGGGTGCTTTTCCATTCTGGAATCTTAATCGAGGTCTAAATTCAGAAACCTGATGCTGACAAAAAAGAACTTTGTCATCCTCCGTTATTATTTGGAAAACGTCATGCTACCTCTCTGGGATTTGATTTACAGCTTGAAGAAATACAATTCCTCAGGAACAGTGAGCCAGGGCAGTTCATTTCTTCCCATAACAAAGGTCTCCAACAAATACATTTGAAGCCATCCTTTCCGATCTACTTTTATCTCGTTTTCAGTACCCGGAATAATTTGAGAGTGCTGAAAATAAACAACTCCATCCACCATTCAGTATTGTGCCAGTATCCTAATTTTTCTGGTATCTTGCCAACTAATAAACATAGAAGGTATGCTTTCAAATTCTGTGGGTTTTTTTTCATTACTTGATATTGACATACTGGCTATTGCTTTATGATTTCGTCTGCTAACAATGACTGAGTTCAGTCTTTCAACTCTTATACACATGACTTCTAAGTTTAAGTTCTTTTAATAACCTTAAACGCATGAAAAACAAATAGAATGAGCTGATAATTCAGCACAGTAAAATACACTTCACATATTTAGCTATCATGCTGTGGAATAACTCCACAATGTCAAGTAGCACACAATTAGTAAAACTGTAGGGGGAGGAAAAAGGAGTGTTTTGATCCTGAAGAATTTTGATCCTAATCAGATTGAAATTTCAGCGTTCTTGTAGTGCTTAATATCTTCAATCACACACACACACAAATCAAACTGATGTCAGATTTTGCATTCTGTGACTGAAATAAAATGCTAAAATATACAAATGCATCTCACTTTGTACAATAAACATTAACATCATTATAAAGTAAGATTGAGTCTAAAAACTGTGTGATGGAATGTCTGATGTTTACCTAATTCTCAAACCAAAGCCAGCCCAGTAACAAAATGACAGAGCATGTAATAAGTCTTGGTTGTGTAAACACTGGAAGAAAAGGCAAAAAGCCCTAGGCTTGCTTGTCCAGAGCATCTTGCTTGTCCAGAGCCCTAGGCTATTACTGAATGATGCCTCAACTGTGCCTTCTTGGCAGGAGAAGGTCATGGCGACATGGAGTCAGCTCAAGAATAAGACAGAATTCTAAAACAAAGGGATGGTTAAAAAAATAAACCACATTAACTATTTAGCTTTTCCTCCTAGAGCTATTGGCACAATTCCTGGCTCTGTCCATGAAAGGCAGGTTGTAGTCATCTGATCGTACTTCTGATATTTTGAGATCTGTCTTATGCTCCAGTTTATGGATAGAACTTAAAGAAAAAAAGACTTGACAGCCTTTGATAACTCAAAATGCTATCTTTATCACTCGGATCTATTTTCCTAGCATAGGCAACTGTAAATCTACAGATGAGCTTGTTTCTAGAATAAGAAAAGGAAAAGGAAATCTCAGCTGCACCAGGATTTGACAACTCTGATTAAAGTGAACCAAAAAACTCCGGACCATTTACTCTGCCACTAGGTTCGCGAGACACCTGAGAGTTCACTGGGTTCCAACATAAAGAACCCCTAAGAATCACATCATATACACCAGTACAGTGGGTTAGTGAAATGACAAAACCAAGAGAGTTTAGGTCCTCTTCCGTTACACTGAGCCAAAGACCTGTGTGATGGTTTTCTCTTTATGCCACCTCACTGGAGTCACTGAACCCAGCTTCATTGATTCTTCGGGCCGAATTGAACAAATCAACATTTTAAGGCTTGAACTTTAAATCATCCATATTAGCAATGATTTGAGCCCCTTTGCCTATCACCCTGAAGCTTTCCAGGGTTCCAAGGTGGCGTTAGTGGTAAAGAACCCGCCTCCCAATGCAGGAGACATGAGAGACACAGGTTCTATCCCTGGGTTGGGAAGACCCCCTGGAGGAGGGCATGGCAACCCACTCCAATATTCTTGCCTAGAGAATCCCCATGGACCGAAGCGCCTGGTGGGCTGCGGTCCTTACTGTCATGTCACCCTGGAGTCGCACACTCCTCTTACGTATAGGAATGGCTCGACCCTCCCCCGCTGTGCCTCTGCCTACGTCCAGTAAACGGAAGGCAGACCACGAGTGCTAACCAGAGACACATGCCTTGTGTTGTGCTTTTGTCCCTGTCTACAGAAGATGCTCCTTTTGCCTTGAGATATCCTTAGAGTTCTTCCCGGGTCATGTCAGCAGCGACTCTAAAATCTGGGAAGAGTAGCCTCAGGGAAAACTTCCTTTCTCTTTATTACCATGTGTCCCAGCAGCAAGGCTCAAGGCTCTGCAGCAGTGGAACTTTAGGGGAGGAAAAAGGAGCCAGAAAGTATAGAAGTGGCATCAGTTTTCCCTTCCTAGAACTGGACCCAGGATGAGAAAACTCTGGCAGAGTTATTTCAGAAAGAGAGGAGGACTTCCACCGTGTCTATGAGATCATTAAAGTTAAAAAGCACCACCTACCCAATGCATTGGGGAGGTGTTAAAAAAATACAGTAGCCTGTTTCTTTCTTAATTACAAAATTCTATACTTCCTAACAAAATGAATACACAGCTACCTGGCATAATGCATTCCTTGCTGTTTTGCATCAATAACCCCTACACTTCCCTCCTGAAGGCGTCTCATCGCCAAATGCAAGCCGACTGCTTAATGCAGGACTAATTAGTATACCCCCTTCCAGTCTGCAGGCCCTCCATTGTAATTCCTTCCCAGCTCATTTTTTTCCACAACCGAGCATCAATCAAAGTAAGTGCCCTGCCTGCCTAGGAAACACAAGATGCCCTCCATGCATTTGTCATCTGCCACACAAACAAAGGGGGAATTGAATTGTTGATTTGGGTATGCAGCCATCTCCGCAGTAGAGGAAGGCTCGAGTGAAGGAAGGAGGGAAGGTGTGGAGTTTGCTGGGTGGGCCACGTGCAGATGGCACAGGGAATGTATTTTCTGATCTTAGATTTTTCCAGGGCTGGGTCTTCAGGGATTTAGCTGCCACCTGATCACTGGCTGGACTTTACCCCGCCAAAGCAAATGAGTTTTTTCCTCTTCTTCCATATGAATATGAAAAATCACATGAAAGGAAATGCACGTAATAGCTGGCACGTCTGCCTTTTTTCAGAAGCCAAGTCAGCCTAGCCTGTCCATTAACTAAAAAGATTGTCACAGGGAGACAAAATTAAGCCAGGCTTTTATGCAGGAGCGAATTAGTATTATTACTTTACACCTTTTTTTTTGGGCAAGTGCTGATTTGGGTTTTTAAGTCCAAGGTCAGGCACACAGAGAGAAGAGAGACCAGCAAGGGCCTACCTACCAGCTGGGTATCCCTGCACCATTGCATTCTAGAAATGCCAAATTTCAGGCCAAGCCTCAGGTTTATTGAGTCCAAATATGCAGTTAACAAAGGATCCCTAGCTGACTCA